AAACAAGGACAATAATTTATGCTCTCAAATTACTTTAATAACACACCCATCATTATTACTATAAAAATGGATAAATCACTCGTTTTGGATTGGGCTATGGTCCAAACGTTAAAGATGAGTTTAATAGGTTGGATGAAAGTTCTACATTGACTAATTTAGGAAGTGATCGTGCTTTTATAATCAAAGAATATTCTCTCCATTGATATAAGATCTTTTAAAGAAGCCGAAAATAAAGTCATAAGCTAGAAGTTATTTTTATTAGATGGAGTTCAAATAAATAATAATTTTATGAATTAAATTTATTTATGATTTATTAAAATTAAAATGGGTTGAAACCAACTATTTGAATTATTATTAATTCTAAAAATATATTTTTGCTTATAGGATACAATTATATGCCATTCTTTTATTTTTATTTATTTAATTTCATTATTTTTTTAATGATTTATTCTTCCATAATACTTAAATAATTTAACAATTTGGAAGGTAATTTTTCATCCAGTAACAAATTTTAATTAAAAAGTTTGAAAATAAGTAAATATATATTTTATGAACTAACATTTTACTTTTATTAAAAAAATATTTGAATAATGACCGAACCACCTCAAGGTTCATCATCTAATAAGGATGGTTTATGTTGAAAAAATTTTCAACCTAAACAATTGGGTTGAGTTTAAAAAATGTCCTAGTTCGACTAAACTCATTCCATGAATGCCTCTAATCAAATTAAGAATATGCATGATTCAAAATATGAATTTTATACGCGTATTTGATACTCCTTAAATGTCACACAACCCAAATCTGCAACCCGTGACCCGGATGCCTGCAGCAACTGACTTGACAATCGGTGCCTCGACCTAACTTCAACTTGCACATGCATCAGCACCTTATTGCACCGCATCAAGTCTGTAGCAAAAAACTCCTTTGGCTTACACGGCTTGGTTGGCTCGGCTCAACTCTGCGGCTTAGAAATTAGTGTCTCGGCTCAGTAAAGGAGATAAATACTTATTTTGACCTTGGACTTGTATCGTGGCATTCCTCTAGCGATCGCAAGGTTTCTCTTGGAGTTTGCTCACTCTAGCTCTTTTCTTCAACCATGAAAATTAATGAGCGTGGGTTTATCATGAGTAAGATCCACTCTCAACTGTAGCGACGAAATCATCATCACCATCCATTCTCAACTGTAGCACCGAAATCATTGTCACCCCTTTTATTTTGTTAGTGAAAGAGTGAGTGTTTGAATAGTTGATAAGAAGATCATATTAGAAGAGCAAGAAGGCTCTATTAAGAAATCCACCTAAAAATATGGAGAATATCCGGTAACAAAGGAGTAAATCAAATCAAAACTATAAAGAGATTTAATCTGATACTAATGGATAGAAATCTAAACAAACATGTGATCTTTAACACTCTTCATTGTTTAGATGTTGTGAACTACAAGCTTTTTCCTGACCACTCATCTTACTCCAATTATCTTTCTGTTTAGATGTCGATCAACCAACTCCCAGGTTTTGTTTTTCTCGATCATTGAAAGCTCCTCCTTTGACAGGTGCATCATCAACCAAAACATCTTGTCATTCATCTTTAGACTCTTCTATTATGCAAGCTTCAAATGGTGTAGTTCTTCACAGCTTTTGTTGAAATTCGATTTTGCAAGTACACAACAGTGTTTGCTGCTTCTCCCCAAAAACGTTTCGGAAGATTCTTCTCATGAAGCATGCATCTTGTCATCTCCATTATGAATCTATTCCTCCTTTCACTAACGTCATTCTATTGAGAAGTGTATGGTGCTGTCAATTGATGTTCAATTCCAGCCTCTTCTCAAAACCTGTTAAAGGTTTCTGAGGTGTACTCCTTGTCATTATTTGATCTTATAGTATGAATTAAGCATGCACTATCATTCTCAACTCTAATATTTAATGATGGTGTTCGCTTTGGACCACAAAGATCAGTATGAACCAACTGCATATTTTCGAGGCTCTCCATGCCTGTTTAGGAAAGAGTTACCTATGTTGCTTCCCAAAATTACAAGCACAGCAAAGAGGCATGTCATCATCAATGTCAGCGAGTCCTTCTACCAGCTTCTTTGACTGCATCTGAAGCAAACATCGATGATGAAAGTGCTCAAGTCTTTTGTGCCAAATCCTAGTGGCACTAGCTTTGGACATAAAGGCCCTCTGCTCTTTGGATTTAGAGCAAAGTTTTTTCCCTTTTATTTTGACGTTGAACAAGTTTTTGCCACTAGCATCTCTGATCAAGCACTGACCAACACTTATAGCGATCAACACTTATTCTCAAACAACAATTTATTGCGTTTATCAAGGAACTGACCAACACTTAGAGTGAGTGATTGAATGGCTTAGAGTGAGTGATTGAATGGTTGATAAGAAGATCGTATTATAAAGAGCAAGAAGGCTCTATATATATACAGAAAATATATAAAGATATTAAAAAAACTACCTAAAAATATGCAGAAAATCGGGTAACAAACTGGTAAATCAAAATTAAATCAAATCAAAACTAATTATAGATTTAATCAACTGACAACAATCTAAACAAATACCTGATTTTAACATGTTTGAAGGGTGTTAGTCTGAATGATAATGTAGTTGGACCAGCATTTTTCTAGAGGCATGAGTATGACTTTGTGTTCGAGCAGGAAATCTATCTCTAGCATGACTTCGAAGTTAACCATCTTGGTAATCACAAAATCGGTTTGTTCAGTCTAAGTCCCCAGTTGGTTACCGCATTGACGCTTTCATCCTTCTTATGTATAGACGCTAGAGGATGTTCAATCACTTCGCTTCAGTCTTCGTCGTGAAGTTGTGAGTGGCTCCAAAGATATTAGTATCCTTAGCTACTCTATGATTAACTAAGGTTTCGACTTATATAAGACCCTATTCCACTAGCTCTTTTATCTCTCTCACTCTCTTCTAGAGATTAGATAAGCACTTTAGGGCCCCCGTGCAAGAGTTTTCAATACTTTCGACTAGCAGTATTTCGACTTCTAGTATTTCGACTTCTTCTATCTCATATTCAGCTTCTAAATTTGTTTCAAATTTTGCTTGGAAAGCATAGAGTGATGCATTTTGTGATATTCAGATTCTGTGGGCATCCTTAAATATGAAGCAAAACGAGGGCCCTTGACTATAGTTGTTCTGGTTGTGAGGTATCCGCCATAGAATTTTACCTCTCTATTGGAAGGATTTAGTGTTCGGTCCTCCAACTTCGAGTTTGTCACCTCCCCTGCCTTTAGGGGAGTTGGATATGTAATTCTCTACCTTCACTTGTCAAAGCTTGATTTCACCTTACATCGTGGGATTGGTCATTGCTAAGGTCAAACATTTGTTCGCGGATAGCATAGGGTGTAAAAAGGTTAAACTATTTTTTTATTTTTATTTATTTTTATTTTTTATTTTTATTATTATTATTATTATTTTATTTTATTTTATTATTATTATTTTTTTTTTTTGAGTTTGGTCTTTGCTCACCCTTCAGCCTTTTGACAAAATTGAATATTTTGTATTTATCTGACATTTGACGAATATTCAACATAAGCCTATAAAACTGCTTAACGTAGTCTTAGATATTCCTAATATGTCGTAGCTCCCTTAACTTACTCCTTGCTATTATCTCAACATTCTCTTGAAGAAATGTGAGAGGAATTCTTTGTTTTAAGCTCTCTCAAGTGTCTATGGTATATCAACTATCTTGAATGTCCATGTATTTGGATCTCCATAACAACTTTGCATAGTTGACTAGATGCATTATTGCCTGTGTGACCTTTGTCTCTTTTGTCGTAGTATTTGTGGCTCGAAAATATTATTTGAGGTCAAAGATAAAGTTTTCTAAATCCCTAGCATCTTGAACCCCACAAAAGGGCAAGCCCCTCGACCTTCACCTTATTATATTGGACCGCATCCCCCAGTTGGGGTTTGGTTCCCTACTAGTGTCATGGTGAGGGTTAGCTTGGCACTCAAATCTGCCACTACAGCTCTATCCACCTCAAGGACTGCTCTTATGTCCTAGTACATTTCATAAACCATTTGAATGATATTTTCTGGAATTATTTAGGTTTGTGCTAGTCGAGCTATCCTCACACTTGAAGTCAATAGCTGTTGTGACCTTGTCTTCTAGCGTCTTGACCCTCAACATTAGTTCATAGATAGGAATTTCCTCAAAGTGGCTTGCCATTTCTTCGATCTTGTCGGCTTTATTACAATCTCATTCATACGAGATTACTAGAATCTCATTTTGTTATGAACTTAACTTAGATAGAGCAATCAATCTTCAATCTTTACTAGTCCGATCAAATTCAAGGAGTCAATTTAGCTCTGATACCAACTATTGCAATTGCATTCCGTCAAATTCATAAAGCTTTATGCGATACTTACTCTCCCTCTTGAGTAAGGCAGCCAATACCTAAATAATTTGGAAATCAATTTATAAGAAAACAATGTTATAGGCCGAAAGTAATTAAGCAACAACTCATATTTGTGTAGTAATTAAGCAACAACCTCATATTTGTGTAGTAATTAAGCAACAACCTCAAATTCGATTCCAATCCTTTTTCCTCTTTCTTTTCTTCAAAACCTTTTTCTTTCTTTCTTTTTCCTTTTCTTTCCTTTTCTCTCTTTTCCCCCCAAATTATCACATGTTTCGTATCAATTTATATGAATTTGATTTAAGGCTTTTAGTGATGAGTGTTGTAAGATTTGTATTATGTATGTAATCACATGTTATTGATAATAAATTAAAGGGAAGATATGCTTATTATGACAATTAAATTTGTGATGAAAGTAATTGAATGGAACATAAAGAAAGAAATTTGAATTAATAATACATTACTCAACGAACTGTAATTACATCCACAACACTCAAATGTACAACCAAACTTGAAATTATAGAAACAACAAAACAGAAGAAAAACAGTTTGTTACCAGAAGACGATAAAAGAGAACAAAGAAGATGTTTTATTTTGGTTATTTGTTTGGTTTTTGAAGGAGGAACACAAAGGGGTTTGGAAACATATCAATGCTCCATTCGGATGATGCATCGAATTGACTGTCCTTGTAGCATGTAATGGAATGCCTTGTTGATCTCAGAAAAGGGGACAGAGTTAGTAATGAACTTCTCCAATTCCAACTCCTGCCATAATTAATACATATTCGAAGCTATTAATGAATGAGATGCGAATATGGTTGCCTCAGTTAATATATATATATATATGAATCGTATGTACCTTCTTCAAGTACTGCTCCACCACATTTGGAATGTCGGAACGGGTCTTGTAGTTCCCAAAGAACGTTCCCTTCAGGGTCTTCTCGTTCAAGAAATTCATTGGATGTGTTTTGAAGGAATCATCTTTGTTTGGTACCCCAACAAGCACAGCAACGCCCCACCCCTGATCACATATCATATCATATCATCCACTAATTAATATTAAAACACATACCTGTCTAACAAATAACTGAAACTATAATCATTAATTACATCATGAACACATTCAAACGCAGAGATCATTGCTTGGACGCTTCCTGTACATTCAACGCTTCGATCCACGCCTCCATTGGTCATCTCCGCAATCACCTGTGTTCATTTTTTCAAATCAAATTAATTGGTTACTGCCCTAAAATTGATTAACCCTAAACCCTAACCTGCTGGACTGGCCTCTCCTACGCTCTCCACAACTCTGATATGATATGATATGGGGTTCGAACCCTTGCATTTGATGACTTGACCGGCGGTATTGGACATGACTTTCAAGAATCAGATGTTGTTTTGGTTTGTATTTTGATGGATGAATGTTTAGAGTTGGAAGGGTGTATTTTATAGTGGGTATTAGGAAAAGCATTGATTAGGAGTATAAATATAATTGGGCAGTCGTCCTTGTGGGCGATGAATACCGTATGTGGTTTTGTTGTCTGCGTTTGGCTTCTTTTGGCATTTAAAAAACCAACAGAAAAGTAGAGACACAAAAATGGCAACTTGGACAAGAGAAACACCCAATAAACAACTTGGAGGTGGATGCGTTGACCTTCTGAAACCTCCCATGCGTTGACCTTGGACTGGAAATGCTATATTCACAGTGCCAAAGAAAACCGTTAATTATTTTCAATCTCTCTGTGGGCTATGTGGTTTTGTCAGGTTCCTTGGGTTCTTGATGACGCTTTGGGATTTGACAAAGGGTGGGAAAATAGTTAGAAATATGGCAACTTGGTGGTTAGGGACGTTGAAGATTATGTATTTGTTTAAATTCATTTAAGTTAGTATCTTATTTGATTTAGTTTTTTATTTTAAGTTACTATCTTATTAATATAATATAGAGCCTTCTTTCTCTCCATAATATAATATTCTCATCAACCATTCAATCACCCATTCTTTCACTAACCAGTCTTTGATGGAGACAATTATCAAATGTGGGCAGTTCGTATGGAGACTTACCTAGAGGCTTTGGATCTTTGGGAAGCAATAGAAGAGGATTACGAGGTCCCTCTGCTTCCAGCAAATCCTACTATACCACAAATCAAAGTACAAAAGGAAAAGAAGACAAGAAAATCAAAGGAAAAAGCTTGCCTATTTGCCGTTAATAATCTTCATGCGAATAATGTCCCTCAAAATAGCAAAGGAAATCTGGGATTATCTCAAGGTTGAATATGAAGAAGATGAGAGGATTCGTGGAATGGAAGTCCTTAATTTGATTAAGGATTTCAAGTTGCAGAAGATGAAGGAGTCGGAGTCGGTGAAAGAGTACTCTGACAGACTTCTCAACATTGCCAACAAGGTGAGATTGCTTGGTTCTGTGTTAAATGATTCCAGGATCGTTGAAAAGCTGTTAGTCACTATTCCAAAGAAGTTTGAAGCTACCATTACTACTCTAGAGAAAACCAAAGACTTGTCAAAGATTTCTCTTACAGAGCTCTTGAATGTTTTACAAGCACAAGAGCAAATGAGGTCTATGAGGCAAGAAGGGGTGATTGAAGGTGCCTTACCGGTTAAGCATCAAGACGATAGCAGGTATAAAAACAAGAAAATTTTCAAAATTCAATCGTCGAATGGAGAATCATCTGCCAATTATCAAAAGACAAAAGGAGGAGGTTTCAAAAAATCCTATCCACCTTGCCACCATATTGAGAAGAAAGGTCATCCACCATACAAGTGTTGGAGAAGACCTGATGCCAAATGCTCCAAATGCAATCAACTTGGACATGAAGCTGTGATCTGCAAAGTCAAAGGACAGGTGAAAGAAGTAGAGGCACAGGTAATTGATCAAGAAGAAGAAGATCAATTGTTTGTGGTCACTTGTTTCTCAGGCAAAGAATCAAGCGAGAGCTGGTTGATTGGCAGTGGGTGCACAAACCATATAACATATGACAAAGAGTTTTTTGAGAAATTAAGAGACACTGAAGTCAAGAGAGTGAGAATTGGCAATGGTGAACACTTGGAAGTCAAAGGAAAAGGCACAGTACCTATAACAAGTTATGAAGGTACAAAATTTATTCCAGATACCTAAAATTGATCAAAATCTTTAAGTGTTGGTCAGTTACTTGATAAAGGTTGGTCGGTTACTTGATAAAGGCTGTAAAGTGTTGTCTGAGAATAAGCAGTGTTTTATCAAAGATCCTAATGACAAAGACTTGTTCAATCTCAAAATGACAGAAAAAAGCTTTGCTCTAAATCTGATGGAGAAAGAGCCGATGGCCTTTATATCCAGAGCTAGTGCCACTGAGATTTGGCACAAAAGACTTGGGCACTTTCATTAATGAGGTTTGCTTCAGATGTAGTCAAAGAAGCTGGTAGAAAGACTCGCTGACATTGATGATGACATACCTCCTTGCCGTACTTGTAATTTTGGGAAGCAACATAGGCAACCCTTTCCTAAACAGGAATGGAGAGCCTCGAAAAAACTGCAGCTAGTTCATACTGATCTTTGTGGTCAAAGAAGCTGGTAGAAGGACTCGCTGACATTGATGATGACATACCTCCTTGCCATACTTGTAATTTTGGGAAGGAACATAGGCAACCCTTTCCTAAACAGGCATGGAGAGCCTCGAAAAAACTGCAGCTAGTTCATACTGATCTTTGTGGTCAAAGAAGTTGGTAGAAGGACTCACTTACATTGATGATGACCTACCTCCTTACCGTACTTGTAATTTTGGGAAGCAACATAGGCAACCCTTTCCTAAACATGCATGGAGAGCCTCGAAAAAACTGCAACTGGTTCATACTGATCTTTGTGGTCCTTAGAGAATGCCATCATTAAATGAAGTTGCAAGTGTACTTTGGAAATTCAAAGTCAGAGTTGAGAATGAAAGTGCATGCTTGATTCAAACTATATGATCAGATTATGGTAAGGAGTACACTTCAAAAACTTTTAACAGGTATTGTGAAGAGGCTGGAATTGAACATCAATTGACAACACCATACACTCCTCAACAGAATGACGTCAGTGAAAGGAGGAATAGATTCATAATGGAGATGACGAGATGCATGCTTCATGAGAAGGATCTTCCAAAACATTTTTGGGGAAAAGCAGCAAACATTGTTGTGTGCTTGCAAAATCGAATTTCAACAAAAGGGGTGAAGGACCTGACACCATTTGAAGTTTGGTATGGTTACAAACCTTCTTTAAAGTTCCTTAGAATATTTGGATGTCTTTGCTTCACTTATATTCTACCGGTCAAGCATGATAAGCTTGACAAAAAGGCAGAAGCTGACATCTTTGTTCGGTGTAGCACTATATTCAAAGCTTACAGAGTTTTTAAACCACATTAGTCGTGTTATTGTGAGCTGAGATGTTCATTTTGCTGGAAATGAGCAATGGAATTGGGAAGAACTGACGAAGGTAAATAAGATTTCTAATGCACCAAACAATTTAATCTTTGCTAGCATGTTAGAAGAGTCGGAAGATAAACGACAAGAAGAGTCTGAAGATGAACGAGAAGATGTTTTGGTTGATGATGCACCTGTCAGAGGAGGACCTTTCGGTGATCGAGAAAAACAAAACTTGGGAGTTGGTTGATCGACATCTAAACAGAAAGATAATTGGAGTAAGAAGGGTGTTAAAAAAAAAGTTGGGAGTTCACAACATCTCAACAATGAAGAGTGTTAAAGATCACATATTTGTTTAGATTGCTATCACTTAGTATCTGATTAAATCTCCATTAGAAGTTGATTTAGTTTTGATTTGATTTAGTTTTTGATTTGTTCAAACCACATTTTTGCAAATTTTTAGGTAGATTTTCAAAATATATTTTTGTATTATCTATATATATATAGAGCATTCTTGCTCTTCATAATATTATCTCCTCATCAACCATTCAGTCACTCATTCTTTCACGAACATAGGACAAACGTGAAGAAGAGGAAATTCAGATTGGGGACTACAAAACCTTGATTGTTCCCTTTTTGCTGTTTTATATTATATTATTGTCACGACCAGAGTTTCGAAGCTTCAAATTTTAGATAAGACAAAATTAAAAATAAATAAAAATAAAATAAAAGATGAAAAATCCATAAAATTTAAATCTAAATAAAGTCAACAACACCAAAAATAAATAAAAGTTAAATCCAATTATAGGGTATTATTTAAAATATTACAAATGGGGAAACAAGTTTGTGATACAATTATAAAATAAAATACAATGACTATAAAATTAAAAAAAAAAAAAAAATTACACTCCAGAATACTTCCTTTGAAAAGGAGAAAATGTGTGAGTGTAAAAATATACTTAGTAAGCAACCTACTTATAGACTTTCACCATATCCTTAACCTAGGAGATATCCACGGGATTTTCTTTGGGCTCTAGAAAGTTCAACCTAAAATGACCTTGACCATTTCTACACATGATAGTGGCACTAAACATAGAATAACCTCAACACACTACCCTATCTGAAAAATTTGAGTCAAGCTCGAAGCATTGAATTGTACGGAAGGGAATAGGTAGTGGTCTTGGCTACGGTGATACCATTCACTATGCGAGTAAACATAGTAAACTATCTTGCTCTTTCCTGAATGTTGTGGTCGTAAACTAGGTGTTGTAGGGCATTTTGATGGTTTATAACTTGGAATTTTTGTTTCCATGACTTCCTAACTTGCTCTTAGAGCTAATTGTGTTCTGGGAACATTAAAGTCTAATTCTTTGATCAAACAGTGATCGGCTTATTGAAAACATCCTGATTTCATCATCGTGAAACCTTTAAGGTCATAATGTTGACTTAGATGATCTATTCATGTTTATATAGGGATTTAAATCTATTAATCACCTAAATCTTAGTTCATTAACTTAAATTAGAGTTCCTCACATAGCAAAAAAAACTTCTTGTATAGCAAGACGTATTGAATTATGCATATATAAGTTATATCAAGTAACCATGCTTGCAGCTTATATATGCATAACTTAGTACGTCATGCTAACGTGATTGTGTGCCACTTACCTCACCCTTAAGTAAGTTAGCAAACTAGAATTTGGGTTTTCGTTGGCACAGACGATGTATACTTAAACCTCATGTTTTTATTTCACAAAAATTATTTTTGAAAAAAATATTGTAGACTATAATTTAGATTGTCGTTTGGCACAAGCGACATATGCTTGAGCCTTGGGTCTCGTTCCTCAAAATACATTTTAGAATCACGGGTAAAGAAACTTTTAGAAAGTATTTGAAATCGGTTTGTAAGAAAGCAATGTTATAGGCTAAAATAAATAGTATCAACCATAGCTTTGATAACATATAACATGAATTTAGCCTTGACATGATTTTGGCTTTGATAGGTGTACACATATAGCTTTGGAACATCAACCATATAGTTTTGACAGGTGTAGACATAATTTTGGCAAACAGTCGTACACCCTTGTATTGACAGAACATGAATAGTAAAGGCTTAACTAATGTGAAAACAAGTAAAAAGGTTTGGAACATGCATGCGGTCATAGGCAACACACCTTGTACAAGCATGATCGAGGCATTCGATTGTGACCATAGGCAACACGTCTTGGACAAGAATGATCATGACATCCTCCCCTACTCAATTGGTTGACGTCTCAGTCAACCGACTTATCATGAACTTAGTGATGTAGGATGAGGCTGACTTTAAAACTCTTGATGCATTTCCAATTGATCCTAACATTAAGGAGTCTCTTTCAATCTTCCAGGAACTGTTGAAAATTACTTCTTTGCTCGTTGACTCGAATACCCAACCACTAACCCAATATCCAAACCCTCTATCCACGACCCAAATACCAAGCCTCAGCACAACGCAACCAAAACCAGCACCAAGATCCACAACTCGCGACTTAGATCTACAACTGAGACCCACTTCCAACCCGAGACCCATGCATTTAAATTCTTGCAAATGTTGTGTGTGATCGTTTAAGTTATAAAGTATTTGTACTCATTATCACTAAAGTCATGAAATGTGTATACGCTCAAGACCTAGAGAGTATGAAAGCTCGGTTAATCGTGTACATGAAATTGATATCATAGAGTTAGGAGGTAAAAACAATGTTTTACCCCCAAACAAAAAATAATGTAAAACATAGGGTTTCAATTGTGGTGGGAATTAAAAGAGGAGATTGTAGGAAGAAAATAAGTGAAGATAATTTGATTCCAAATATCGGGAAGGCCAGGAAGACACCAATGACCACAATCTTGCATGCCTGGATTGTCTCCCCAATTCCCCACATGAGCGTCGCTTCTATACGATCCCATCGCCGTTAAATGCATCACTCTCACCGGAACCCTCTTCATCCTCTTCCTCAAAACTTCAATTATTATGTCTGACTTTTCACTCTTCTCTCTTCCGTTCGTCTCCTTCAATGGCTCCCGACTCACATCGCATTGGTTCGGCCCTCTGCATGCACCATTAATCTATTAGGAGTCATACTCTTAACTTAATCATGTCAATAAAGAAGGTATGAGCCTCGAAAGTGCAGTAAAAAGTGACCAAGTGTCGAATAAAAGGTGTACTTTGTTCGAGGACTCCAAAAAAGGAGTTGAGCCTCGATTAAAGAGAGGTTATTTGAGGGCTCCTTAGGCCTCAGAAGAGGCTCTATATGGTACTTTTGTTTCATGTTGACTAATTTATGAAATTATCGTGGGCTTATAAATAAGAAATACATCTCAATTGGAACGAGGCCAATAATAAGATCAACGTTACCTCCAATGAGTAGACTCAATAGTGCGGAAGAAAACGGCTGTCCTATTCGGGTTGATATTAGCCTCAGCCCAATCAGCCCACGTATTCAACGCCATCTTATACCCATCAATCACAGACATTCCCATCACCAATGAGTCCCCTATTTGAAAAAAGCACCTCCTGTCCATCCATATGATCAAGTATGATAATATAGTAAACTATAATTCAGTATGACATATCCTTAACACTTACATCTCGTTGAAAAGTCGATTTTCAGTCCACCAACCACCAGTGTTGAAAACCAAAACATCTGAATCAACCCATTGGTCACGGATATCGTCCACTTCGTCCAATCTAACCGTCATCCTCACATTGTTCGGTGCACCCGCCGGCACTTTATAATCCTTCTTCATTAAAAACACGGACCTATAAAAATCCACGCTGATATTATGGTCCCTAAACCTCACTCCCAAATGCCGAATTGTCTTAGTGATATTACTCCCATTGATTTCATAAACGCTCTCCTTATTCTCCACTCCTTCCATCAGCATACAAACCCACGACTCCCATTGTGTACGGCTGAGTGAGTCGCCGACAATCACTACCCGTTTTCCTCTCAGCATCTCCAGCGCTTTCCCAGCCTCGAACCTTGGAATGTCGCATTGCTTTGGCTTCCACCGCCAGTTGATGTACGCCGTGTCCTTACGCCCGTTTTCCAAGCAGCTGAACCCTCGCTCCGCGAAGGGGCAGTCGGTGGAGTTGTAGATTGGGTAGGTGGAGGAGTTGTCCTCTACCCATTGGCCGTCGAAGACGTTGCAGTGTGGTGGGACCGTGGGGGTGAGGTGGAGGATTTTGTGGATGTTGGGGAAGAGGAGTGTGTAGGTAGAGGCGATGGCGATGAGGAAGGTGAGGAAGCAAGGGAGGATCCATACTTGGTTGAAGCAATGGAGGGTTGTTCTTGATTTGGCATTGTTGAAGCTTGGAAGAGTTGAGTAGGAGCTTTGCTTGTTCACCACCATTGTTGTACTCTGAATTATGGGTTATGAATTATGGGTTAAGCAGAGGAGATGGAGAATGGGAGTTTAAAGAAACAATATGGAAACCGTTGATTTGTTGTTACATTTCAATTCTTTTCTGTATTGAATTAGGAGATTAAGTTTTGGAGTTTTTGAAATGGGAGAAACTTCAAATTTAAACTGATTTATTGTGTATTAATTACAATAAATACTTAATCTCTATGTAAGTTAATTAGCAACATTAAGAGATTATAGTTTATCATATATAGTTGATCAATATCTAAATCCCGTATTTTATTTTGTAACCCCTTAAGTCTCATCACTATATCTAGACACTATAACTCTAAATCGTCTTATTGGGTTAATGCTTACTCCTTAACACCCTAGGACATTATCCAAGTCTTGCTTACTTAGAATTGTTAGCATTAACTTTAGGTCACGTTCGAAAGCTTGTCTACTGGTGTAGATACAATTAACGTGTTTTCTAGAGGCTCTAATCCTATTGATCATGTTCATCAAGTCTTTCTATCCTGCAAGAATGCATAAAACTAAATTCTAACATCATAAATACTAAACAGTTAATGACTAGCATGTCAGATTATTGGGAGTGAGTCTCACGTTAGTTAATTTAGTAGAAGATCATGGATTTATAAGTGAAGAATACTATCTTTATTGGTATGAGGCCTTTTGATGAAGCCTAAAGCAAAGCTACGAGAGCTTATGCTCAAAGTGGAAAATATCATATCATTGTGGAGATCCATGATTCCTAACATAGCAGAGTACTTGTCACAACAACGTCGGGCTCTTTAGCATTCTAGGCCATCATGTTGTGAAGTCTCCTAACCTCCCATGTTCATGTTGTGAAGTCTCCTAACCTCCCATGTTGTGGAGTCTCCTAACCTCCTCGGTCTTGTCCTGCTAGCTGGTTAATCTCTTAGGTCATCATAATGCATAAAATAATATTGACATATTTTTTTAATTTAAGTTTTACTACCAAACAAAATTTAGAAACCATGAAAACATAGAATTCAGTTTTTACCAAGGTGATTAAGTTTATGGCCTAGAGTCTAGATAAGCCCAAACACCTACGGTCGGTGACCAGCGCCACGACTCGTGACCCGTGACCTGTACCACGACTCATGACCCGTGACCTGTGCCTCGACTCGCAACCCGCACCTCGACCCCAAAATGCCTGCACACACATTGGCCCTCTATTGCGCCAAGTGGCACACTTGTAGCATGCATCCCTCGACTCAGTCGTTTTAAATGACTCGACTCGGCTCTGCGGCTCAAAGCACGCTCATTCGACTCCTAAGTGAGTTAAGAACTCCTGCTTGAGTGACTCGTTAATTAAGAAGATTAATATTTCACACAATGATCATATGTGACTCAATCTTAATCTTGAGTGAGTTAAGAACTCGTACCTGTGAGGACTTGTTATTCGATTTGCATGAGTATGAATGACTCTTGTAGTCAATTCAATATACCTACCACTTTAGGGACCGGACCAAATAGAGAACTAGAAATCACTTAGATGAAATTCACTCCACTTTCTAGATTTGACCACACAAGATGTTGAAACATAATAAGAAGTAATTCACTCCTTTCCACGTAAATGAGTGGTTCTTTTAAAGGTTAATTTAGAGATTTGATCCATGGAGCCCACTATTTCAATTGTCGGAGATGGACTTGATTTATAATTGAACTATAAACAAATTATTCTATATAAAATGAATAATGAATATAATTTGTCTTATAAAACAGACTTATAAAGGACGGACATGTTTGATAAATTAATTTGACATTATTGATGCTTATAATTTGTAGGGGCTCAATTAAGGTTAAAATTAATATTTAATACATTAAATATATTAAATAAAAAATAGATATATTTTGAAATGTTTAAATTAATAATTAATATATTAAATAAATAAAAGAAAAATATATTTAATTGAAGGTTCACAATTACTGGTATTTTTTTTGCTCAGCAACTTATCTGAAAAATCACTCACAAAAAAAAAAATATTAAAAATGATTTATCATTAACCACTTTTTACAAAACTTATAATAAAAGTAAATTTTGCTAAATTATAATTTAGAAGTATCAAACACTTTATTGAATCTTTGTTCTCCACACGGCATTGTTCTAATAATAATAAAAAATAATTTAAAATTTCACACAACTTTACTTACAATCTTGGTGGCGATGAACTACGGATCTAATCCTCAATTTCAAATGATACCCCATTTTCCTTTCCCAGGTCGTAAGTAGTATGATCAACAACCTACCAGGAGAAAGAGAAGTTAGATGAAGTAATATTAAATTGTAATAGGTATTAAATGAACCATGGCATTCTAGAATAAGATGATTTCGAACTTCAACAAATGGACATAAACATTATTTCAACCTAATATGATCCCTTAGAAATTCTCTATTTCGTATTATCGGCATCTCACGATATCAGCTTCATTTTAATGAAAAACAAATAGTTGTTCTAAAATAATTTTGGTGGTTTAGAGTTAAAAATTCAAGTTTTAAATCACACCCCATAATCAGAATATATTACAAAAAATCATATTGAGAATTTAACATTACCGGGCATCGCGGTTTTAAGTTACGAAGAGTAAAAGAGAATATAAGAAAAAGGAATAGAAAAAATGGAAAAGAAAAGGAAAAGTACTAGCATAGTCATCTTTTTCTTCTCACGACTTTTTTCACGACTTTTTCACGAAACCACCAGCCTAGACTACCACAGTTACCAATACTTATCTAATGTGATAAAGTCCAATTCAATAATGGTATGATATTTTAGAAAAATGATTTAAGTTTTCATCCCAATACTTTTACTATAAATACTCCTCCACCCTACCAAGGTTTTCATCCCAAGAAATTCCAATTCCAAGCACAACAGAATGTATGAGTTTCTACAAGGTGTTCTAGATTGGTGTTAATAAAGAGCATGAGTGTTTCCCATAAAGAGTTGTGTTCAACAATTTGGTAACAGAGGAAGGTTGGTGTAAGTTATCTGTTCTCTTAGAATTCTAAATGTGCTCTGTGGTTGCGGCTCTGTTTGATTTTTCAGATCAAAAACAATTTCTTGATATAATTAGTGAATCATTTCTTTGTGTCATGAGTTGTCTGTGACTCTACAAGTTTTGTGTCAAAAGAGTTTTTTTTAGTATTATTGAGGCATACCCAACACGATGGGTGATTTCCAAATTGTTAGAGGAATCAAGAAACTCAACAACAGCAACTACAACACATGGACAACATGCATGATGTTCCATTTACAAGGACATGACCTTTGAAAGGTCGTTTGTGGGAGAAAAACTACGCTGCCAGAAGATGATTCTAATGGCGTCTTGTGCAAATGGAGAATCAAAGCGGACAAGACAATGTATGCCTTGAAGACCACAATCGGAGAAGAAATGTCAGAGCACCTGATGTGGCGCGACATGTCTGACATGGGAATATAGAATCAGTCAGGCAACGAACTCCCTTATCATCTATATTCAAGAAAATAATCTCCCTTAATGATCAGGTTGAGCATTGAGTGAGTTATTCCCAAAGAAAATTGGCCAACAGAGCAAAAGGTGAACACATTTAGATGTGAAATTTATGAAAACTGATATGAGATGTAAATTTCGACTTCCTGACATTGCAGCAATTACGAGTGTTAGTAAGACCTTGGTCGACCAAGGGAAGAACCAGAATGGTAACCACACCATAGGAGGGGTTGAAGGATAAGCAGATAGCTTGCCACTCATAGGGGCATTGATGACGATAGCAAGGAAGCCTTCTTACTAAACCACAAAGTGTTAAAAAGGAGAGAAGTCAGAATGAACCTCAAGAAAACACCTAAGGAGGGCATTGCATGAGTAGATACGAGCTCGAACGGTGTTTCAGAGAGATTTCTGATAGAAAAGCTAAACTGTCATGTAGGCACAACATTCAAATGGTTACGAACGCCTCATGTGGCGAGAAGAGTTGAACCTAAACACTGACTCACTGGTTCAAGCCATCTGTGATATCTATGTTAGAGATACAGTGGCGCTATTACATGAAGTTAGAAAAATGAAGAAAGTAGTTCCTACCAGGGGGGGTAAGATATTTGTCTAACAAACTTATGTTGACAAAAATAGCGGCCAAGGGTCGTCGCTATTAGGCTACAATTGTTGCATGTACAGTTAGTAGCACGAATTCACTAACATCAGGCATGATACGAAAGCGACATCCCAGAAGTTGACATACCACGATAGACCCTGTGTAATAACGAGATGGACGAGATTGAGAATCTACTACTGCTGGTATATGCAATAAGGACATTGATACGAGAATATGCTCAACTCTAGAATTTTAGAGACCTTCATAAGAGCCACATATCTTAAAACCCGACATAAGGGTCTGCTACTTCAAAGCCTGTTACAAAGGCCGGATAAACTAGAGTAGAGCTTGCCATAGAGCCTAATAATTATATACTCCTATACCAGAAGTGTATAGAATTGTAAGCACAAGTCTTATAGGGCAAGAATAGACTAGAGCCTAGTCAATGGCTAAGGATTATAGTTGAGCACAAAGCCTAAGGATATGTTATGAAGTATACGTTGACGAGAGCCTACAAGTAGGTTGCTTATTGAGTATTTTTATACTCATTCCATATTATTCTATATATTTTTTTTTTTTTTTCAAATGGGAATGTTGATAGCAGGAGCGTGCTGAGCCATGCAACTCCAGGACTATCCTTTAGATTGAATCATCTTCCTTGTTGTCATTTTATTATTATTTGAAATGTTGTTTCTTGAAACTTATATACTTTTTGTAAGTCGTTTTGACTTGACGCACCTTTAAATTACTTTTATCGATTTGAATGCATATTTGAATTTCAAATTCCATGTGTATTCCACTTTACAAAAAGAAAATTTTACCACCCTTTACTTTGAGTGTACATGGCAACTTGTGATTCAAGGCATCGAAAATTAGGCCATTATAATAACAATTTTTT